AGACAAGGCACAAATCCATGCCAGGAAGAAGCTACTGGATTCCTGCAGGTGTGTCTACCTTCTTGCGGAATAGAGCATGAACCTCTAGCACAACTGTTGCCTTTCTTTAATCTAATTTACAAATCACAAACTATACACAGCTCTGTCTAAAGCTATAATACAAAAGAGTGAGATCAGTCCTCTATTGCTCTGACTACGAGCAAATCAGGGAGGTTGTCACAGCCTTACTGGAGAGGAGAATGAGCTGCATGGATTGATGAATGCTCCCCGAAAGGTGCAACTGCAGATTTTTCAGCTGAGAACGCAGATGGGATGCTCCTGCAGTATATTGTGTGGAAGAAGGACTGGGAAACTCAAAGCAGATTAAATCTTATGGATTAATGATGGAGTTGGAAGCTAGCACAGGAGAAACACTTTGAAGAAAACACATCTGGTTGGGTATTGTTGGTTTTTTTTTGAACCCTGTTCATTCCACAGATTTCAAGGAGGCAAGTTTTGCTTTCATCCTAATTATGACAGAATCTGAACAGCTCGTCTGAACAAGTACAAAACATAATTTTCACTATGTATCACATACCTATAGGTACCGTTACGTCAGTGCTTAGAGCAGTGCCAATTAAGAAATCCCCAATAAGCGCAGGCCTCTCGTACACCCAGGATGGAAACACTGGAACAGGCTGACCTGAATTCTTCTTATTTTGCTTATCTCGGAGCATTTTTCGTGTAAGCTCAAGAGGCTAATGAGAAGGAAAAAAAAAAAAGAGAGAGAAAAGAATGAAGAAAGAGAGATGTTTGGAAGTACAAAAATTTTTCAATTTTAAGCAGAAATTAACTATAAGCCAATAATTTGAAAACAGAAAGTGGAATAATTGATATTTCAGTAGAACAGTGTAGGTTTTAATCATCATTTTTTTAACATCAAATTAGTTCCAGAAGGAGAAAGTAGCCATATCTCATCCAAGGAGAACTTGCGAACAGGCCAATGACCACCTCTGAAATCAGTTTCCGCACACTGCCCAAGAAGTAGGTGCACATGAAATGCCATCCAGACAATACATTGGTGGAAAATGACAGCGATTTTGCTCTGATTGCAAAGGAAATGAGCTTTTACAACACCATAAGAGTTTCCATTCCTGGCACTGGATCTCTGTCAGTAAAATAAATATGGTGAAAGACTAATATTCAGCTTGAGAGCTCTATGTGATGTACAAAAACTGCCACAAGTGCAAAAACATGGGGTTCGTGCTTATGAAAGCCATTTCTTAAGCTCCACACGTATGTGAAATGGGATCTGCACACAGTCATTTTATTTTCTTCTCATTGAAGGTCTCAGAGGTGAGAGGAATGTGGGAAGGAAACAAGTGCACATAAGCTTTGCATCTTGCTGGCTTGCGCTGCCATTTCCTTTGGCTGCAAGCAGAACTGTGCCTCAAAGGAAAAGTATGCATGGCAATCAACTTGTATTTGAACATCCCAGAAAACACCACTTCCTCTTCTCTCCTCTTTGAGCAAATCATACATAAATCCTTTTTAAAAGATCTCTTCTCCTACTGGAAATTAATCTCCCTTTCAGGATCTAAATCAACTGCTTGACTCAGATCTTCCATGAAGGATTTGGATGAGACAGGCAAAAAGCCTGATATGTACAGTATAGGAGGATCAGTGTAGCTCCATCACTGACTAACAATGCCTTTGCAGCACTTATTTCAAGAACACTAATTCCAATAGCTAAGTAGACAAAATGGTTGTCTGCTTGGGGAACAATTTTACAAGGCACTGCACTCACACATCCTGGAGAACAGAGTTTTCAGCAAGGACAGAATGACCCATAAAGGTTGCTGAGCAAGCACTGCTGCAGGCAGGAAAGGAAACATCTGCGTGGGTTAAGGAGGTGCTTTGAAACAGGAAAATGAAATCACATCACTACGCCCCAGTGAGAACTGCTGTGCCTAAACTCAACTCACCTTACCTGACTTCAATACAAAAGGCCGCTTTTATGAAGAACAGCACAATTATTTAATATAATTTGACAAACGCCATTTTGAGAGCAAATTCAGATTATCTGCATGGATAGGAATACCTGCAATTCCCCTACACAGCAAAAGTTAAGAGCACAGCTACATACGAACGGCAGGGAAAAATCTTACATGTAAGGTGAGGGAAGCGGCAGTACCTGCTGTGCGCTGGAGTTGGCTGTGACAGAGCCAAGCTGCTTGCGCAACTCCTCAAGTTCCTGCAGAGAGATCTTGGACGTAGATGAGGGAATGGAGAAATTTGTGCTGCCACCAGCTGCCACGTTTGCTGTGAGTTCCGCTCTTTCTTTGGCATTTTGTTGCAAATACTGGAGTGTCTGTATACACATAAAACAAAAGAGATTTTGTGAACGCTGGTCAGCACACACTGCAGCAAAACACGTCTGCCCATAAGAGAGGTGAGCTGCTCAGACTACAGGTATTTCTGTTCCAGTCTCATGCCTTACAGTGGTCTAAATCAACAGTGGTGTAATTCTCAACAGTACTTAAAAAATTAAGTAAATGCTAGATCTGGATGTCTTCTGTTGACTTCAATGCATTCCAATGAATATTATCATCAGATAGTGTGCATATTTAAAATCACTGTGTTGATGCTACTGCCAAGTAGTTATAACATGCTCAGTTCTAACACAGAAACAAACCTCTTTGTCTTCTGTGAGCTTTGACAGTAGGTACACCAAAGAATCTAGATGTCTGGTATTTTTAGACTTCAGCTCATCATATTTCTTTAAAAAATCTTCAGGAGTTCTAGAAAACTCTGCTATTTTTACCTGTAAAAGACCACATGAATATTTAATGTTTAAGGTACATTATTATTCCAACATTCCAGAGCAAAGCATTGTACAAGGAGGCAGAAAAGATGCAGGCTGCTGCCGCCAGCATAGTACTTCAGGGTTCAGGCTTTGACTGAACAATGCAGCATTGGCCTCACACTGGTAATTAAGATGGACTGATTTGGAAGGCAGCAACGAAAAGCAGTATTATGGCCACAGAAACACATCTGGTCATGAGGGTACCAGGCTTTAAATCCCAGACATATTCGATGATGTTCAAAGAAAAAAAAAAAAGCCAGATACTATTCAAAAAATTACAAAGGTTGGAAAAAAGCACCTAAGATCATCTAATCCAATCGTTAACCCATTGCCACCATTAATGCCCACTAAACCATGTCCCTCAGTGCCACATCCCCACATTCCTTGAACACCTTCAGGGACGGTGACTCTACCACCTCCCTGGGCAGACAGTTCCAATAACTTAGCACTCATTCTGAGAAGAAGTTTATCTTTATATCCAATCTGAACTTCCCTGGCACAACTTAAAGCCATTACCTCATCCTTTTGCTATTATCTGGGAGCAGAAGCCAACATCCACCTTCCCAGAACTTCCTTTCAGGGAGCTGTAGAGCAATAAGGTCTCCCCTGAGCCACCTCTTCTTGAGGCTAAACAATTCCATTTCCCTCAGCTGCTCCCATAAGACTTGTCCTCCAGACCCCTCACAGCTCTGTTGCCCTCCTCTGGATACACTCCAGGGCCTCAATGTCTTTCTTGTAGTGAGGGGTCCAAAACTGAACACAGCATTGAGGGTTTTTTTTTTACGATTACCTCCCTGATCCAGCTGACCAGACCGTTTCTGACACCACTGTTTCAGGATGCCACTGGCCTTCTTTGTCACTTAGCCACACTGCTGGTTCAATGTTCAGCTGACTGTCAACTAACATCCCCAGATCATTTACCTCCACTCAGCTTACCAGCCACTCTGCCCAGGCCCCAGCACCTGGCCTAAAGCTCATAGAGCAGGCCTCAGCCCAGTGATCCAGCCAGTCCAGATCCCTCTGTACATCTTTCTACCCTCAAGCAGATTGACACTTCCTCCCAACTTGGTGTCATCCGCAAACTTACTGAGAGCGAATATAATCACATTTAATCACACAGCTACTATTTTTCATTTTATTTACTTCTCCAGTAGATAACTCCTCTAATTAAAAATTGAACCAACCACGCCAGGCACAAAATAAGCTACTTTTAACACTTCCCCCAGAATGAACACACATCACAGGTACAGTGCTTGTACCAGCTCTGGCAAAGGAAGCTCAACACCCGCGGCGAGGCCCCAGGCACAGCTCCCTGCAATGCCACCCCTCTGCCCACCTTAGCGCTGTGTGCAGACACAGAGGTGGTGACATAGGGCGTGCGGTTCTTTTGCAGCAGGTCGATGTACACCTCAGCCCCCTCACCACCATGCACACGCAGCAGGCTGAGCAGCTCGTTGACATCGTGGTGGATGCGGAACTCATTCATGCTGTGAGTGAAAACCAACCTGCCGCTGCACAGGACACGGAGAAGAAAGGCAGAGAGTCAAGTTAGCGTTTTGGTTTAAGAATAACGCTTCCCAGCTGCGTTGTAAGCCCGCAGGGTGTGCTGAGACATTGGACAGGAACAAAGAAACTTGCGTAAGGGGAGCTGCAAGGAAAGTCCCTCGTCCTGCTTGCTTCTGCCCTGCTGCAGACTCGGTCTAAGGGTGGAGAGCAGCAGGGCTGCCTTCCAGGCACCACGTTAGCGGAGAGGTCTCCGAGGGCGGCGCTGACTCAAGGGGAGAGGGGCTGAAGCCCCGCAGAAGCTGCCGGGAGGGTTGTAAGGACGCCCGCCCTCTCCCAGCAGCGAGACCCGCAGGCTGGAAGGCAGGAGCCGAAGGGCTCGCACCGAGTGCCCGCCGCGGCCTGCTGTACGTATCAGAACCACGCGCTACAGACGCAACGCCGGGCCCGTTCCGAGCGGCTCCCTACAGCAGCGCTGCGGGCCCAAAGCCGACACAGAGAACGGGGCCGGGCGCCCGCTCCGCTCTCCCTCCCCCAGCCTCCCGCAGCTTCCCGCCGGCCCCGGCCCGCTCCCGTCCCTCCTACCCGCCCGGAAGTCTCCGGCGCGGCCGCTCGGAAGCGCTGCGGGCGCCTGCGCGGCCCAGCCCGGCCCATGCCGTTGTCCGTCCTCCGCCGCCGCTTGCGGGGTCACCCGCCGCTCCCCTCCGTCCCGCCGCCCGCCCGGGCCCTGCCGTGGCCGCCCTTCGCTTTCTCCCCGCGCCGCCTGCGCCTGGGCCCGCGGCACCCGCTGTTTGAGGTGAGGTGAGGCGAGGCGAGGCGAGGCGGGCGGCGTGGCGGCAGGGCTGCCCCGCGGCTGCCCCACGGCTTCCGTGTCCCCCCACTGCAGGATGGCGACGTGCAGAGGCACCTGTACCTGCGGGAGGCCCTCACGGGCCGCGCCGAGGAGGCGGAGAGGCTCAGGTGAGCCGCGTGGAGGGAGAGCTCGGCCCCCGGCGCTGCTGGGGCCGGTGGGCCGCCCCTGATATTCACAGCGACTCATACCTTCGTAGGAGCTGTGTCCAGGCGCTCCCTGAGCGCCAGCATCTTCTGTGCCGTGCCCACCGCCTTTGGGGCAGAGCCCTCTAGTAATGCTTGAACGTATGATCACTTACACGCCGAGGATGCCGTAACGTGCTGTCCTTCCCTTACAGGGTGTCTGAATTTTGCTGCCACATCTCCGGCTGCTCTCAGGTATTCGACACGCTGGAGGGCTACGAGCACCACTACAACACACTGCACCGGAGCGTCTGCTCCTTCTGCAGGAGGTCCTTCCCCTCGGGGCACCTTCTGGACATCCACATCTCTGAGTGGCACGACTCACTCTTCCAGATCATGGCTGAGAAGCAGAATATGGTGAGGGCACGGCCAGGGCCCTGCTGCCGCACAGACCGGCCGTTCACCCTTCCCAGGAGGTGTCTTCTTTCCTTTCTTTCAGTACAAGTGCTTGGTAGAAGGCTGTGCGGAGAAGTTCAAGAGCAGCAAAGACAGGAAGGATCACTTGGTCACTGTTCACTTATACCCTGCTGACTTCCGATTTGACAGACCAAAGAAAGTGAAGAGGTAACTGCACAACGGCAGCAGCACAGCTGCTTTTTCCATGCAGAAGTGACATAGTGCATCTCTGCTGTCCCACTCCTTTCTAAAGCACACAAGCTGCTATCTAAAGAGCCCAGTAGTGAAGTTTTCTGCTTCTTGTGGGAATAGATATACATGTGGGACTTCATGTGACAATGTTTTGCCTTCTCCTAGTGTGTCTTCATTCTCTCCCTCTGTACTCTTTCAAGTCCAGCACTTTTCTCTGGCAGTGTGTGTTTCCTGCTTTCTTTCCAAGTCTTTGCAATATTCCTACTCCCGAAAAGTGTGAATAGAGCATAAGGAGGCTTTGTAAACCTGTCAGATAGCTTTCTCTTCTGGCCACTCATGCACAGAATCGTGTCATAGAATCATCTGAATAGGAAGGTACCTTTAAGCGCCATCTGGTCCAACTCCTCTGCAGTGAACAGGGACACCCACAGCTCCATCAGGTGCTTAGAGCCTCATCCAGCATGGCCTTGAATGTCTCCAGTGATGGGATACCACTACCTTATCAGGCAACTTGTAACAGTGCTTCGGTACCTTTATTGTAAAAAAAACCTTTTCCTTCTATGTGATCTAAGTCTCCCCTATTTATTTTGGAACCATTGTCCCATTACAACACTGTCCCATTGTCCTATCACACAGAGCCTGCTAAAAAGTGTGCCTCCTTCTTTCTTACAGCCTCCTTTAGATACTGACAGGCCACTCTCAGGTCTCCCCTGTGCCTTCTCTTCTCCAGGCTGAACCACCTCAGCTCTCAGTTTGTCCTGATAGGGGAGGTGTTCCATGCTTTGGATCATTTGTGTGGCCCTCCTCTGGTCGCACTCCAGCAGTTCATATCTCTCCCGTTCTGCTGTTTCCAAGCACTGCTTTTGCTATAAAGTCATCATTTCAAGCGGAACAGGGCAAGGGGGCCCTTTCTCCTCTTCTGGGGAGAAAGAAAGAAAAACAACCCAATTAAGATAAGGAGAGAGAACAAATTTACTACAAATGGTAAAAGAATGTAAGATAATGAGAAATATTATTGAGTTATTAATACAATTAATAACTCAAATGGAAATGAGAAGAAGGCAATGACTGTGCTTCTTGCTGCACTGCTGGCACCCAGAAGCCCTTTCACCCCCCATTACCCGGAATTGGGGAGCATGTGGAAGCTCTTGGGAACTGTAGTACATCTCAGTGTGTCTTCCTCTTAGAAAGTCAGAACTCACCTGAGACTTGCTGAAATGTCTTGATATAGAATACTGATATAACCAGAACATAGAATACAGGCACTGATGTTTAACAGTCTTGAGTGACATTGAGGATGGGATGATGAGAAAATTCCTTGCCCAGTGAAGTGGTACAGCCCTACCACAGGTAACCAGAGGGACTGGGAGTCCCAGAGCTTGCTTGTACTAACCTGCTTGTACCATCACCTCTCCACAGCGGAGGGCTGGACTGGAGTGCTCCAGCCTCGTTTGGGAGCCCATTCATGCATTAAGCTTTATGAGTTGAAGAGTGACATGTAGGAACTAAGCTGTGTGCTGAATACTTTTGCTTATCTCTCCATCAGATTTTGCCCTGCAGCAGGTGTTTTGTGCAGCCAAATCTCGGTGCCTCTTTCATGCGGTAATTCTGCCAGGCCTGATGTGCCCTCTTTAAAATCCCTTTTGTTTCTTTTGCTCCATGCTCGCATGTCAGCTGCTGAGAAAGGATGTCACATTTTGTTTCTGCAGTGGTGCCAAGCACGTGAGCTGTCCTACAGAATATGATGGGAGCATGCTGATGGATGTCAGTGTGGAGACCTCAGAGCAGCTCCAGGCAGACCACATGGAAGTAGTGCCCAGTGAGAGCATGGAGGTCCCTCAGCCTACAGCCAGCACTTCAGAACCAGAGAAGCGTCTCTATAAATCCAGGTCTGAGCCAAATACCTGCACAGGCAACAGTTTCTGGGGCTGGGACCATATTGTCTTAATTGCATAGTGCAATACCACTCTGGGTGTTTTGTGCTGGGTACAGAAGAGGTGATATTTCTATTTATTTTTGAAAAGCACTTTTAAAATAGAAAAAAGCATGAAGAAAAAAAGAGTGAGCATTTACTGCAAAGCTTTGTCAGCACACTGTTGCTGTTGCTCTGCCAGCCCCTGGTATGTTCCCAGGGTACTGCAGAGTGATAGTGGTCTGAAGATAAGCTGTTGGAGTCCAAGCCCCCAAACACAAACGTGTGTTTCCTGCTTTGTAATATTTTGCCATCTTAGCTGATTTTCCCAGGAAACTGACTGCAGCTTCCTGTGTTCCCATGGGGTCACAGGACAAGACACAAGCAAAGCAGGTCGATGCCTTATTCTGAATCATATATTTTGCAAAGTCAGGTCAGCATTGCTGTACTTTCTGATTTTTTTACAAAAAGTTAAAAACAAATTGCCTGATGCTGGCTTCACTTACGAAGTCCTCTTCATCATGTACCATAAAACCTGCATGAGGTAGTATGTTATCAAAAAGTTGCTGAAACAGCACCTGAATCATTGTCATTTATTGATCACTTTAATGGCCTCTAAACACATTGTGTTTTTTCTTGAACTCTCCCAGTTGGCAAAGGGATGCTTGTACTTTGAGTTTGTCACACCTGAGATGCTAGCGTGGTCCATCCAACAGAAACCTGACCTCTCTATTTGTCCATGGGGTTACAGTGATACCAGGCAGTGCCAAGGTGACGTGTTAAACTTGACTGCTTTTTCAAGAGTAACAGGTTATATGCCATTAAGAAATGCTGGCTTGAATTTGATGTGACCCTCCTGGTTGCTGAAAGGCCACACTTTTCTTGCTTCTTCTCTGCAATCATACACTTTTGCAAAAATAACACTGTAACTTCCCAGCATGTTACGTTTTTCCCATTGTGAAGAGAGATGAGAGGCATCCGTCACATAAATGTGCCCCGTCAGTGGAAGACAAACAGCATTTCACCTACATTTTGAATTGGCATCTGTGATTTAGACTCTGGGAGCCTGAAACCATGGAAGATGTAAAATATCCCAGTGCTCCTGTAGGTGGTGGGGTGCTAAGCAATGGATAGGGTGTGTGTTGGAAATGGGCCGATGCAGAGAGCTTGTCCCGGCGAACTGGTGTGCGGCCAGACCTTCACACTTGCAGCTTGTATCTTGGAGAGATTAGTCAATTTTGTTTTGGTATCAAGTTCCCCAAAAGATTACTCTTTTACCTCCAACACGTTGCCTTGCATTCCTGGGCTAAGTCAGCTTTGTCTTTCAAAACATGACTGTTGCTGCTAGTTGACTGGTCACAGCAGGACTTCTGCTGATAACAGAGGGCAGAGATCTCACAAATGCATGTTAACTGGCATCTCTGTTCCAGGATCCCATCCACAATCTGCTTTGGACAGGGTGCCACCCGAGGATTTAAAGGCTCGCATAAGAAAGTGTGAATGTCAGCACAGTAGATTTGCGCAAGACAAAAAGACACCAGCAATTGTGATCGAAGCCCCCGTGTCCAAGCAAGAATGTTTGCCATTGCGTGCAAGGATCTGCTCCATAACGGGAAGGTGAAAAGGAGAAAAGAGCGGTGGTGCAGTTCGGAATATCTAGAATCTTCGGGAGGTGCTTTGCCACAGTCCCTTCGTGTCTGTGTACCACGTCTCTTTGGCAGAAATTGAGAGAAGAGCCTCGCTTGTATTTATTCTCCGTTAGACACAAAAGCTCTCCTCTCTGATTTCCCCTGAAATCAAACTGGAAATAAATTTTTCTGCCTCTCTGCTGTTGAGTTTCTGTGTCTCATCAGCTGCTGCCCGGAGATGTAGGTGGAGCCAAGCAGATGGTATGAGTCTTTGAGATTTTCCCCAAATATCTCCAAGTCAATCTGCAAGAGAGGGTGTATCCCCTTATGCCTTCTTTCCTGTTTAGCCCTGTTCTCCTGGGAGGAAAGTTCCACCAGAGGCACATGTGCCCTTTTCCTTATGTTCCTACCACAGAGTAAACCACAGAGCTCACAGCTTCCTGTCCCTATGGTCTCTTTAAACTGTGACATTCAGTAAATGGTCCACAAAGGAAAAAAAAATGGAATCACAGGCTGTTGGTATGGCATTTATCCAAGAAGCTAAGGATTTGTAATTGCTTCTTTTCCCTCCCTCCTCACCAGAAGGAATAAAGGATAAAAGAGGCTTTGAAAAATCCTTGCAAATATGAGCAGGGAGCAATTTCTACAGATTTCTTTGGGAGTTTTTAAAATGCCTCATTCTGTTTAAAAACAGCTGGTTAGTTCACCTTGCTCCTCAGCCTGCAGAGAGAGCTGCCCCAGGCTGACAGATCTGGTGACAACGGGCACTGCAGGTGCTGGGGTGGAGGGACAGAGGGCAGCAGGAAAGTGTGGCTGGAGGAAAGGCAGATGACGGACAAGATGGAGAAAAGTCCTGGCTGCAGGGCTGGGCTAGGAGGAACAGCAGATGGAAGGCAGGGATGGAGCAAGTGGGATGCAATGAGATGGGATGTCAGGCCTGTGCCATCACCAGAGCTGCATCAGAAAGACATGGAACTGTTGGAGTGGATCCAGAGCAAGCCACAAGGACAGAGGGCTGGAGCACCTCTGCTAAGGAGACGGGCCTAGAGCTGGGGTATTCAGTTGAAGAGAAAGCATGGAAGAGACCTTAGAGTGGCCTTCTAGTATCTAAAGGGGCTATAGGAATGCTGGGGAGGAGCTCTCTGTCAGGGGAGGTAGAATCACATCACAAAACTGGAGGATAACCTAAGATGGCATGGACCCCCGGGCATTATTGAATGCAACTCTGGGTTCCACACAGCACCACCCAAACCCTACGTCTGAGAGCAGCACTCCAGCACTCCCTGAGCTCCAGCACTCAGGGTTGTGCCCACTGCCCCGCACAGCTCATTCCACCCCACCGCCCTCTGCCACAGAGCCTTTCTCTCACCCCCAGCTGCCCTCCCCTGACAGCTCCATGCTGTTCCTTCGGCCAGTCACCGTCACACAGAGCAGAGCTCAGCGCTGCCCCTGCGCTCCCTGTGAGGAGCTGCAGCTGCCACAAGGCCTCCCTTCGGCTCCTCTACTCTGGGCCAGACAGACCCAGGGACCCCAGATGCTCCTCACACCTCCTACCCCCCGGATCCTTCCCCATCTCTGGAGCCCTTCTTTGCATGCTGTGAAACACTCATGTTAAGATTCATCTCCCAGGGGAAAAATGGATCAGCAAAGGAATTGCGACCTGAAAGCACCAAATCCATCCATTTTCCTTCAGAGGCAGGAGCTGAAGATAACCTCACGCTGGAGAGAAACCCTGCTGTGCACAGCACACGGGGCAGGAGAGCCACTGAGAGCAGCTGAGCAGGTGCTCAGCTACGTGATGGCGATGGCGCTGCACAGCTATTCTCCTTTCACTGTTTATTTCAGCTGGCCTAGTTTGGATTCCTAGTTTGGTGTTGAGGAATGAGTTTGCAGACCTGCAGCCCTCAGCAGCTGCTAATTCGACTGCTGCTGGTGCTCTGCAAGGTGTATGTATACATGTGCACGACGGGGCGCACCTGCATGACCCACACCACTCCCCCATGCAACCACACGACATGCGTGGCTGCACCACACCCAGGGGCAAAGTGCGGGGCAAGGGCTATGCACAGGCAGAGGCACCATGGGTCCCTGTGGTGTAGCTGTGCTGCTGGGTGCAGCTCTCCTGCTGCTAGCCCCCGAAGGCACCCAGGTGAGCCCACAGCTCTCTGTGGCCCAGGGCCGGGCACAGAGCTGGCCCTCACCTTGTCCTTCTCTGCTGCAGGTTCTTGGTGGTCTCAGACGGGATGTGGATGCGGAGCAGAATCTGGCGAAGGAGATGTAAGAGGGGCTACAGCCACACTGCCTGCACCACTGAGTGCTGCATTGTGGCTGGGATCGGGCTGGGGAAAGCAGTGGGCAAACATCAGTGGGCAGCCTGGTCTAGTGGCTGGCAACCCTGCACATAGCAGGGAGGTTGAAACTAGATGATCATTATGGTCCTTTTCAATTCAGGCTGTTTATAATTCTATGATTCTATGATTAGGCACTTTAAGGGGATGTATTATCCTTGCTGCTTTGAATTCCTAACAGTTAAGGGGCTTCCTGCTCATGCATTTCCCCTCACATCACTCAAACCCTCTAAGCTGCATGGCCCTGGTTTTGCTTCACCTTGCTTCAAAGCTGCTATTGCTTCCCTTGCAGCAATGCTGCCATCGTGCCTGTGCCACTCGTGAGATGAGCACCCAAAGAGCCCACTAATTCATGTTTTAAATCCAAATGGACCCACTCAGCCCTCAGCAGGCACTGACAACATGGGGTCAGCTTTCATGACTTGCTGCCCCACGGGCCACCTCTGCTCTCTTACAGCATCCAGGCCGCACAGGAGGCAGAGGAAGCCAAGCTTGCCAAGGACACTGCCTCACGGCCTCTGTTCCCTCCAGACCCTGCTCGGGTCCAGGTGGGGCCAGAGCAGGACCGCGACCATCTCTACCACCCTTCAGTCAAGGTTGAGGTGGAGCCTGAACTCCAGTCCTGCAGAGAGCGCCTGGTTCTATCAGCAGAAGTGGAAAATGGCCCCTCAGAGGATCATGACCACCTCTACCACAGCTGAATGAGGCTCCAGCCCTGCCCTCCCCGTGGGCCCCCAGTAAACCTCTCCTTGTTGAGCAGCCTGGTGGATGCCTGGTTTCTGACAGGAATAGGAGAGTCCAGCAGGCCAGGGGGCTCGGCCTGTCACCCCAGCCCCAGGTCAGCCCATAGGAAGGGCTCCCAGCCATCTCCAGTGCTTCTCAGTTTGGGAACTCCCAACAAAAATGTTGATGCACCGGCAGCACCAGGAAAGCCTTTTAATAGCAATAACAAGCAAAACCCTGCTGAGGATCTTGCCCAGTGTGGGCATCAGTCAGTGTCGGGTGCTGGCTCCCTCTGCGGTGCCAACAGACCCGTCCTTCATTTTGAGGCACATGGCTGGTGAAGGGCAGCAAAGGGGAACAAGTGTCTGCTGGTTCTGCAGCTCAACTGTCAGTGAAGTTGGCTTTGCGCTTCTCCACAAAGGCAGTCATCCCTTCCTTGCGATCGTCCTGGTGGCAGAGAATGGGTTGGGGTGTTCCACAGCCTCACCCTCCCTGTGCTTCCAGGGCCAGCCCTGTACTCACGGTGGCAAAAGTAGCATAGAAAAGGCGCTTCTCTGTCCTGTTGCCCTCTGTCAGTGTTGTTTCGAACGCTGGAGATGGGGACAAGGAGATGGAGAAAAGATAGGGATGAGGAGATGGGACATGATGAGAGACGAGGAGATGGGAACACCATTCAGCCCCCTAAAACCCTGAGTTCACCCCATCCCTGACCCCCATACCAGCATTGACGGACTCCTTGGCCATAGCTACCACCAGTTTGGAGTTGGTAGCGATCTTCTCAGCGCAGCCAATGGCCGCATCCAGCAGCTTCTCCGTGGGGAAGACTTTGCTGACCAGACCTGGGGACAAGCAGGGAGGTGGGGGGGGAAGTCCTCATTGTGCCCCCAGCCTCACCCACACCCCTACCTGCCGCTTTGGCCTCCGCCGCCGAGATCCGCTCCCCAGTCAGCACCATCTCCATGGCCAGCGACTTGCCCACCGCCCTGGTCAGCCTCTGCGTTCCGCCGGCGCCTGGGGGTGGGGCGGTGGGCATGGCAGCAGGCACGCGGCTGTCACCAACCCGCCCGGGACACACAGCTTCCACGCTCACCTGGGATCGTCCCCAGCAGGATCTCGGGCTGCCCAAACTGCGCCTTCTCCCCGGCATAGATGATGTCGCACATCATGGCCAGTTCGCAGCCGCCGCCCAGCTGCAAGCACAGTGAGGCTATGGTATATGGGCAGCACGGACGTGGGACACGGGGACACAGAAGGGGTACTCACAGCGAAGCCATTAACGGCGGCGATGGTGGGCTTGCGGACAGTGGCCACCCGATCCCAGCCAGCCAGGAAGCAGCCACTATAGCACTCCTGGAAGGTTTTGTTCTGCATCTCTTTAATGTCAGCACCGGCTGCAAGGGGGACCGCCTATGCTGTACCCAAAGGGCTGCGTTGGGATCCCCAGAGGAGGGGGGTGGGACCACAGGGTGTCGGGGCCGTACCCGCAAAGGCCTTTTCACTGCCGGTGATGACAATAGCTCCCACCTGCCCGTCGGCCTCGAAGGCGTCCAGCGCACGCCCCAGCTCCTCCATCAGCCCCGCACAGAGCGCGTTGAGCGCCTCGGGCCGCTGCAGCCGGATCAGCCCCACGCTGCCGCCCGCCCCGGCCTTCTGCACCTGCAGGAAGCGGAACGGGGGCCCTGCGCGGCCAGCTGACCGCGCGCCATTATGGGGCGATCTTCACCCAGGTGGGCGGTGGGCTCCGCGCTCCGTGGGGGTGGCTCCCGGTGCCCCTCGCCCGGTGCCGGTGTCCCGAGCACGGCCTAAGCCCACTGCCCGCCCCTGGCTCCAGGTGCCCTTTCTTCCCCCCACCCCGCAGCGCTCCCCTCCCAGCGCCCGCTGCCGCCGACCCTTCGCTCACCGTCGCTGTACCCCCGCCCCGCCACGAGGGGGCGGAGTGCCGCCAGGAGAGCGCGGCGCCGCGCGGCACCGGCGCAGACACCGGCACCGGGGCGGAGGAGGGCGCGCAGCGAGGCCGCCATTTCGCTGCGAGGCGCGGAGCTGCGCGGCCACGCCCCCGCCGTCCTGCAGCCTCGCTCCGCCCCGCGCCCATTGGTCGGCGCTGCCGCTGCCAGCAGCGCGCCTGTGCCATTGGCCGACGAGGGCCCCGCAGCTCCCCACGCGTGTCCGCTCTTCACGTCTCCCGAGGGCGCGCTGCGCGGCCCCGTGGCCACCGCCCGACGCCGAGAGGAGCGGAGCGGGTGGCAGCCCGGCGAGCGCGGAGGGGAGGCGCCCACGCAGGACGTGGGAGCGGAAGGCGTCGGGGATCGCTGCGCGGATGCGCGGCCCCTGCGCGGAGAGGTGCGTACGGCCGTGCGTTGGCCATGCACGGGTGCGTCGAAGCTCGACCCCATGGCTGCGGGAGGTCGTGCGGATGTGCAGCGCGTGCAGGGGGACACCGCGCGTGTGGTCGGGCACTCCGGGTGCAAGTGCACGTGCAGGGCTGGTGACAGCACAGCGGCTCACACGTGTCTGTGCAGCCCGTGTGTCAGCGCGTGTGGCAAGCATGTTGATGTGTGTGATACACACGTCATCCATGTGTCAGTGTATGTAATACATATGTTGGTGCATGCAACATATTTGTGCAATCCATGTGTTATGCAAGATATGTAATGCATGTGTTGGCATATATCGCAGACACTTGCAAACCACGTGCTTGTGCACCCCAGGTTCCAGTAACACACATTTTGGTGCAAATGACATGTGTAATCCACGTGTCATGCTATTGACATGCATGTTGTGAATGTGGCATGCATGTGTAATCCCTATGTTGGTGCATGTGGCACACACACAACACATGCACATGCAGGCTGCAACCAGGGCTGCATGCACGCACCATGCATCCCACGCATCGATGCATGTGCAAGGCATAGGGAGACTTCATGGCTGCCTGCATGCCTGTACAGCCCGTGTTGATGCGTGCGATGTCTGCAGCCCATGCACGATGTGACTGCACTCACACACCACATATGGGTGCGCTGTAAGCCAGGGTGCATGCATGATCCTGGCACGTGCAGTGTTTATAGAGCTTCAGTGGGTGCATGCACAGGACCAGGGCTGGTGCACACAGACGCATCGCGCATGCACGTAGTGAGGTGAGCACCTGCCCACAGCAGAGCCCTCCCTGTGTGCAGGTCAGCAGGATGAGGCAATGTGTGGCCTGCTGCTGGGTGCTGCTACTGCTTGCTGCCACCTTCTGCCAACCGGCCGCCGCCAAGGGCGGGCGTGGGGGCTCCCGGGGGGCTGCACGCAGCATGGCGCGGGGGGCTGCCCGCAGCCGGCACAGGGGCCTGCCACGCTATGGCGGGGCCCTGCGTGTGGCTGCGGCAGCAGCAGCTGGGGCAGCAGCTGGAGCCGCACTGCACCAGGCCCAGGCAGAGACGGAGTACCACGAAGGCAATGGGACAGCCTGGACATCGCTGGCATCAGAACAGGTGGAATGGGGCTGGGCCGTGCCATGGCTCTGTCTGCTCGCTGCCATCCTGCACCACTGATGGCATCCACTGGGACGACTGGGTTCCTAAAGCGATCCCACAGCAACGTGGAAATAAAGCTGGGTGACACCATGTGTGGCTGGACACAGCCCAAGCAAGGACCGGGTGCAGGTACGGGGATAGCTGTAACACCCTGCACCGAGGCCTCTGTGGTTTTACTTGGGGCTACAGGTGGCACCTGCACGGTCTGGGCTTCCCCAGAGGCTGTGCCTCCCCCTTCCCTTTCCCACCAGTCCCAGTGGGGAGGATGCAGCCATCACGAAGTGACCCATCTAGGAACAAAGCAGCTTTAATCACACCATGCTGCCACCTGGAGCTGGGGGAGATGTGGCATGCCCTGCTCTACTCCAGGACCCTCAGTCCAATGTCAGTCTACCCAGGCGCCCGGCACGGAAGGCCCGCAGGAACTCATAGGCAGCAGCTGAGTAGTTGAGCATCATTATGTTGACATTCCCTGCAGAATGGACAGAGAGGGTTGCCACAATCCTCAGCAGAGCCCACAGCCCACTGATCCCCAAACCCCATGCTCACCTGTGCCTGTCAGCACCTTCACCTTCTGCGTCTTGCCCAGGGTGACCGCCACGTACTTCAGCACATGCCTGATGTTGTCACTGGCCTCGGGCAGTCCATAGCGCTCCATGTATCTGCAGAGAGGATGCGGCACCCACCCACACCTCGGGGTGCCCCAGCCATGCCCTGCTCCCCACTCACCCAAACTGCTGCTGCTGGTTCAGTACGTACAGCAGGTAGTCAGCCATGATGTCCTCACCCACTAAATGGTCACGGATGGCTCCTGCCAGAGGGAAGCCCCCAGCCTTGTCAGCTTTCTCCACACAGCCTGCCCCAGGCTTCCCTGCTCCATGGCCCCATACCACACAATGCCAGCTTCATCCCCGTCTCCACATCGGCCAACTTTGGGGGCAGCACACCTGGCGTGTCTACCAGGTACATCAGGGGAGTCTCGCACACCTGCGGTCCCACCACCAAGACCACAGGCTCAGCGGGGGCTCTTAGCCAAGGCCTCGCTGCAAAGTGATGAGGCGCTTCATGGGAGAAAGTCTGCACCCTGCAGCCGCACCCACAGGGGGAGATGGTACCTGGATCCGGGTCAGCACCGCCTTGGTGACACCTGGCTCACCACCCACTGCTGTGGCTCTTCCTTTGGGGAAAAGGAGAGAGTGAGGGTGGTGCGTGATGCTGGAGCAGCAACCTCCCAATGCTATGGAAACTTGGGTGTACCCTTTTTGAGGTGCAACCTCCGCAAAGAGTTGATAAGCGATGACTTGCCTACATTGGGCACGCCGATCACCATGATGTTGTACTCGATACTCTGAAAGCAAGGAGGACACGTGCAGGTGCTGTGCTCCACCAAAGGACATACCCAGGCTGCAGCCTCCCTGCCCTACTCACCTCAGCCCGGTGGTAGCGTGGGCTGCTGCTGACTAGCTTGGCGACCAGGGGCACAATCTGTGGGAAGTGGGGAGGATGCTTTCATCGCAGCCTCAGGGCCAACTGAGGACACAGCAGCAGCACAGTACCTTCTTGACATTGCTATCCCGCTGACAATCAGTGAAGACAACATGCGAGCATCCCTGCTGCCTCAGTTGCTCCAGGACTCTCTGTGGGGACAGGAGCTCACTAGTATTGTCCTACTGAAGCCCTGCGGGGTCCCAGCCCACTCTCTGCCTCCAGCACTCACTGACTGCTGGCATGGGTCAGCCAGGTCCATCTTGTTCAGCACCAGAAGATGTGGGCGGATGCCCAGCACCTCCTGCAGCACAGGATTACGGCCTGACAGTGGGATGTGTGGCTGCTAAGGAGAACAACTGTGGTATGAGGGAAAACAGGAGAGTGGCGGGCTGGTGTGGCATGTGGGATAAAGAGGCTTGGAACTAGGTAACAGCACAGATGCAGGGCTTAAAGGGGCGCTGAAGCAACTGCGTGCTGGAGCAGATCACAGAGAAAAGAGGGGCATGGGGGCTGGTTTGGGGGATTATGGGGCTGAGAGCAAACTACCTCATGGACAGATGAATATGGGTACAGGGACCAAAAGGGAGTGAATGAATGACTATGTGCAGAGGCAGACGTAGGGGAAAACATGGTCGGGGACCGGTATGGGACCTTATGGAAAACAGGAGGCACCATTTTGGGGGTTGCGGGGCCGGTGCATCTCAGGGGGATTTCGGAACTTAGACCGTGGTACCTGGAGGGCGGTACGGCACGGAGACAGCGCGTGCTGGAGAAAGCAGGGAGCTGGGAGGCAGTCTGAATGCCGTGCGGGGGGCCGGTGCCGCTCGAGCGGCTTAGGAACTGGAAGCACTTGGCAGTAGGGCACAGCGCAGAACTCGGCGTCTAAGGATATACGAGCGTCGTGCACCTCGACGAGGCAGTCGGCACGCCGCAGGGAGGCCCGCATCTGCCGCAGTCCTGCAACACAACGCCCGCTGAGCGGAGCGGCCGGAGGCACCGACGGGAAGGGCCCCCTCCCCGCCGCTACCGGACTCTCACCTTTGGCCATGTGCCCGGGGAACCATGAGGACGCATCGCGGCTGCCGAAATCGAAGCGGGTGCGGAACCCACCCGACTCCGAGCATGGCCCCAAGGCGGCGGCGGCGCGCAGCGGTCCCACCCAGCTCCTCATGACACTTCCGGTGAGTCACTTCCGGCCGTCACTTCCGCCGTGAGAAGCGGAAGGAGGAAGCGGAGCGGCGCTGGGAGGTGAGTGCGGGGATGCGGTCGTGGCGGGGGGCGTGGCCCGACCCAGCCGTGACACAGCGCTCTTTCAGCGTCATGGCGGAGCCGCGGCCCAGCGGGGAGCCTCGGAGCTCAGCGGCGGGTCCGGGCCCAGCGCCCGCCGCGCCCACCGCGGCTCCGCAGCCTCCTTCGCAGCCTACTTCGCAGCCGCCTGCCGCCCCGCAGCCCCCCCCGGACGCCGCCCCGCAGCCAGGCCCCGCGACGGCCCCGCTGGACGACACGCGCTTCATGATCGCCGGCACCAACTGGTACTGACGGTCCGCGGAGGACGAGCGGCCGGCGGGCAATAAACCAGGCGGAACTCTGTGGGGAAGGAACCTTTATTACGATCGGCCCGCGGCCCGCGGGAGCTGGTTGAGGCGTTCGGCCTCCCGCCAACCGGACAGCAGCGCGCCGTGCGTGGTGGAATAGAAGGAGCGGTGCGTGGCCTCCCCCGCGAACAACACCTGCAGCGGCTACGGGGCGGGGGTCAGGGCCAGGGGCAGCATCAGGCCCACCCGCAGCTACACGTGCCCACAGCTTGCCTGAGGCCGTCCCTGACGCCGGCCCATTGAGTGGGTGCCTGAGGCCTTGGGGAAATGCCCCATGCCTGGAGGGCGCTGGGATGCGTTCTGCGGGCCACACCTCCCCAGTTTAAGAGATGAGGTTCCCCACCCTGTCCCACCATTCCACACCAAAGGACCCAAGTGACCCCGCACAGAGCTCTGTGCACCTCGGGCACATGCTACTGCACACCCCATTGCACACTGGAGCTGTCCCAAGTCCCACGCTATTATTACCCTCCGTGCCCTTACCCTTGGGTCAGATGCATCCTCGGGCAGTGGCTGTGCCAGTATGTCTATGTCTTCTCCAGAGCTTCCAACAGCCACGTAGCTGTAGGAGCCACGTGTGTAGGGAGTGCTGTGCCAGCAGGAGCGCAGCACGCTGCAGGGTGTGGGCAGGTGCGGGTTGCCTGTGGGCCATGGGGCACATCTCAGGCAGGGCCGGACAGAGCCCTCAGCCTGCTGGGCCTCTTCCTGCATATGGAGGTGTTGGGGAGGTGGAGGATCAGGTACCTGTCAGTGTGCGGAGGACCTGGGTCATGGTGCTGAGAACCTCAGCGTCGCTCAGTGTCTCCATGTACTCTGACTCCTTGCCGGCGATGAAGCCACAGAGGACGTGCCCAACCCTGGTGGGGAGAAGGAGCACCCGATGGGAGGTGGGGACTGAGTTGCACAGCCTGAAGCCCTACCTGCTCCAGACCGCATCGCCCTGAAAGACCCCCAAACCAGCACTGCGTAGGGCCATAGTGCCAGGCCACCTACTGCTCTGGTGGCTGCAGGACCACAAAACCAACAAGCTTCTTGAACCAGTTGGCCTTCATGTCAGTACTGGGCTCAGCAAGAGGTGATTCGTCCTCCCACACTACTTCCAGCAGCTGCTGCTCGGGCTCCCAGAAGGGCTGCTCAAATTCCAGGAAGATCTTGTTGTTGGTGCCAAAGCCTAGGCGGCGAATAGCCTCTGCCTTCCTCTGAGGCAGGGGAGGCTGGAAAAAGTCCTGATGCCGTTCCTTGAGGAAACCTACAGAGAGAAGGTGGGGTGGCTTCCTTCCACTGCAACCAGGCCACTTGCCCCAGGGGCTCAGTGGAGTGATGCAGTGGTTGGGCAGGGCCCCTCAAGCCTCACCCAGTGGGACAGTGACAATAACATGGTCAGTGAGAAAAGAGTCACCATCCTCGCACTCCACCCGGACAGGGAAGTCCCTGTCTGTGTCCCCCTCCTCATGGAAGGACCCCTGCCACTGGATAGTCCTCACTGGTTTGTTGAGCAGGACAGTGCCCTCTGGCAGGGTCTCCAGCATGCGCTCAGGCAGGCTGCTGTAGCCACTGTAGGAGAGGATAGGACCAGAGACACCTTCCTTCACTGCTACGTACCCCGGCACAGGGTGTTCCCGGTGCTCCTGCTCACCCTGGGAAGGTGCAATCCAGGCCAGGCAGCGAGGTGTACTCCCCAAAGGACCCCAAGGCCACCATGTCCATGCTGTGGGTGCCACTGATGCAGCACTCCAGCTTGAGGCAGGCACTGAGGATGGCCAGCCGCAGCTGCTTGTCATCCTTGTCCTCATCCCAGGCGGAGGCCAGCCGGGTGATCTCTGCCCGCAGGTACTGCCCCACGCTGTTGGCTGGTAGCTCCCACACGCCCGCGAGGGCCTGGGCCGAGCCCAGCAGCTCGCTGAAGAGGCTGCGGGTGCTGCTCACCAGCTCGGGGCTCAGCACCTTCCCTGAGCTACCGTAGGTGATGACAGGCAGCAGCGGGTGTCCCTTGGCCTCCACCCGCTGGTTCTCCTCCTCGGTGGCCCCGGGGCCCAGCAGGCCGTAGCCGGAAGCCAGGCGGAAGACGGGGTTCCCTTCCGAGGGCCCGTGGATCCAGTGAGCGCCCAGCTCTGCCAGCCCTGAGGCTGTGGGAGGAAGGCGGCGTCATCCCGGGGCCGCTGCCACCCCCGCGCCCCGCGCCCTCCGCTCCCTACCGAAGGGGAGGCTGCAGACGCGGCCACCAACGTGGCCTCCCGCCTCCAGCAGCCGCACGCCTCCCGCGCCCTGCAGCCGCTGCGCCGCCCCCAGCGCCGCCATCCCCGCGCCCACCACCAGCACCCGCCGCCCGCCGCCGCCGCGCTCCATGGCGTCCGCCCGCCTCCGGGGCCGCCCCGGATCTCGTGGGGCCGCGCTGCTGTTGAACCTTCACCCCAGGGCTGAGCTGCTGTTTAACCCTCGCCTTAGCACTGAGCTCTGACAATGCACAAAAAATCCCCTTCAAGTTCTTATTTGGGGTTGGGTGGAGGGTGGTGATGGGGGGGAGCACCGTGTTTTTGCACGTTTTTCAGCAGGGTGGGAACTTGCAGAGCACCACTGCACAGTGGAGAAGCCATGACCCGGCCCTGGTGAAGACAGGTTCTCCGTGCCCCACTCGAGCCCTTGGCCATGAGCAGGGCCAGAGCCCCTCCCAGCACCCCTTGATGCAGCCTAGAAAAATTTGGCTCAGCCATCCCCAGTGTACCGCTATTGGGGTCTGATCACATCCCGCTGCTTCCTTGGGGCACTGCTGAGCTGGGTCTTGCCCTGCTGGGACCCTTTCACCATAGCCACGATGCAGCTGTAGAGGCGTCCAGGGCTGTCCAGGCCCCAGATGAAGTTCCAGTGGTTCCAGTCGGTGATGTGCATGTAGGAGATGAGGCGGGTGATGCGTGGCAGCAGCAGGAGGACATCCCTCTGGTCAGCTACCCAATCCTCACCCCCTGACCACACTGCTGTGGGCACAGGCATCTTCTCCAACTGGTAGTAGGGAGGCTTCTCCTGGAGGGACGTGAGAATCATCTGGGAAACCCTACGGGCTCACCTAGCCCCACAGAACACAGGACAGGCTTGGTGTGAGCCTGGCTGCAGGTTTGGATGCAGATGTCCTGGACACCAGCACCGCAACCCCTACCTGGTGGTACACAGCTTGGTTTTTGCTGCCGTAGTCGAAAGCTTTAAACTCTCCAGATGTCTTCACCTGGGGGGAAAGGATAACCATGCAGCGCGACATGGCAGGACCACCATATGCGTTCCATACCTCAAAGACTCTCAAGGGCTGGCTCCCAGCAGAGCAGCCCAGTGCACACATCTCAGTGCAGTGAAAAAGAGCAAATAATGGGAAACAGAGCAGCTCTGCCTGTATCCTAAGCCCCTTCTGCAGGCTCTGTTTTATCCCTTTCCTCCCTCACAAGTTGCTAGCATCAACACGTGCTGGTCTCTCACACCTGGAGACACCAGGTTCAGAGACCAGCCAAGGGGTGAGGCCATCCATTCAGGGGACATACCTGGGTCCAGTGTATTATGTTTTTGACAGATGTGCTATCAGGATAGTGGGCTGTGTATACATCTAGCCGGGTCTGCAGGGAAACACACTCAAGATATCATTGCTTGCAGGTGAGTAGGAACAGGCACAATGTTTGCCAGATTGTGTTTTCCAAGAGCCTCTACTGTGTTGTGCTGCCTAGAGAGTTAGGTCAGGTTCACAAACATAATTTCAAATTAAAAATCAATTGTTCTTATACAACTCTGGAAGAAGAAACAAACTGTTAGCAACATTTAGCCTCAGTGTTCCCCATGCCCTACCAAACCTCACTTCCTCCAGGGCTAGTAGATGACAACTGGTAGGTCAGCAGTTTTAAGCTTTCCACCACCAAGAGCAGCCCTCCTCCCTGAAACCAGAAGTCTCCAATCCCCGGGAAAGGACACCAACTGTCCCTATGAGGGAAACTCCCTGCAAGGTGCTCTCCCAGAGCCCATGTTCAGCAAGTCCTCAAAGACACCCCGCCCAGCCCAGTGACCATGCACAAATCCTTGGTGGCCACTCGTGGGCCTCCAGACCTTGCTGAGTGCCTTGCTCTGAGTCTGCTGGACTGATGGACAGACGCACCATGTTGAAGTTCTTCTCATTGAAGCCACCCAGCAGGAAAAATAGGTTGGCACAGGGCTTATGCAGGAGCAGGTGCCTGCACAGGTTAGGAAGAAATCTCCACAGCTTCCTTATCCTCAGTGAGGTATCTGTCTTGCCCAATAGGATCTGGGGAAACAAATGGTGAAGGTAGCTTCTTACATTTCCCTTCCCTAGGCTATTACATCTGTGGAAATCAGCTGCTTTCTGCTGCTTCAGATGGCCTGGAAACAACGTCTGTTTTCTAGCATTCAGAGGATTAGAGTAGGGGTGAATCTCATACCTGAAGCATTTCGGGTTTTCCGTTAAGAAGGAATGACATTTTCAAGACAGGACTTCTGGCGTGCTTCATCGTTACTACAGGAGCCAGGGCAAAAAAAGTTTTGATTTTCTGAGCCAGTTCTGGCATGGATGAAAATGCTATGAATGCTGAGAAAACAGAAAAACAATCTGAGACTTGTTGGATTTTGTTCATGTGCTTAGCCCAAGGGTTTGCATGAACCTGCTGCCTATGTCTGTTAATCTGACATTAGTCTGAATTAGGAATCTGGAATTTGTGCCTCTGAACTTTCTGTTCAGTGTTAGTGCTAGCCAGAAAGAGACAACATTTTTATTCCTGTGGTTGACGAAACACTTTAATGACTAACACTAATGGGGCATTCTGCCTTTCACAAGGAGAAAAGAACGGTAGTATCACCTCCCAATGGCTACTTTCATTGTCCCTTAGGTCACCTCGTACCCATGATGGCCTAGCTGGTGGAAAAAAATCACTGTGATTGGGGTGCACAAACCTTGAACTCCATGCAAAATGCACTTGTGTTTGGTGTAGAACCCAGCTTTCCAGGCTGGAATTTGCTTTTCAGGGCCTGACTGTGGTCACCTAGCACTTTCTTACTGCTGTAGGAACATGCTGGTCCTCCCATTTCTCCTTTAGGGAGAGCACTGCTGTTGTGTTGCAAGGGACCTTTGAGATGTCTTAACATGCCTGTTTGGTCGCTCACACATGTAGGACCTCCCTGCATTTTCTGCATACAGATGGCAAAGTGAATGTTTTCGAGGTGGTCCAGGCAACATCTTCCCTGTTTTAGAGAGAAAGGTGATGCCCAACCCCTTCTAACACACCGATAGTGGCACCCTGAGAGTAGCCCACATAGTACAGCTGCTTCTGGCCAGTTTTCTGCAGGACAAAGTTGATCATTGCTGGCAGGTCATATATGGCCATTTTGTGGAAGCTGCAATACAGGACCAGAGCATGAGTTACAAGGGTATGTACAGAAGAGCTTGACATCTGCAGATAGTTTCCCAACAGGAAGTTTCCATGACCAAGGAGAGCCGTAAGGTAGGTGATGCTACACACAGTCCAAAGGCATCTCTCCTGCCATGGCCTCATCCTCCATTGAGAAGACTTAGTCCTTCCATAACCATTGCTAGCCTGGTCATCAATACAATACAGTATTTCAGTTGCAATGCATAACTGCAGATCAAGATCTGGTTCTGCAGATCAGGATGCCAGAGACAGGGAGTCCTGTTCCATATGCCTTTTAGCGTGATGTAGTGTAAGTGCAGATGCACTTCCTTAGCTATTCTACTGCAAGCATATTTATAAGTCTGGAGACAAGTGCTGGGCAGGCAGTAGCAGCTTAAAATGTCTTACTTACTTCAGACTGATTCTGAGCAGAAGGAAAACTCACTTCCCAGACTATTTCAGAGGAATCATAGAACCACTGAAATCGTTAAAGTTGGAAAATACCTCCAAGATCATCTTGGCCCCTTCACTAACCCACCCTCCTTGTCTTTGGGGACTACATCTAGAAGAGGGGGAGAGACTGCCACTTGCAGGCACCTTGCTGGGAGGACTGGTCTGGGACATCCACAGGCAGTCCTGGATTCTGCAGGGTGGAGACACATGGCATCTGCAGTGAGATACTGGCACCATGTCACTAGGCAGGTCTGCACAGGTGCTTCCAGCCTCCCTGCCTTCAGGCTCCTCTGGCAGGTCTGGGGGTGGCCATTCACAGGACTAGATGCTCTGACTTGCCTGTGTGGAGGCATCAGCCTCCGCCTAGAGGTGGGTGACACACAGGAGAGTTTGCCAGCTTTTGTAATCCACCCCAGCCTACCTGAAATCCCAGAATTCAGTCTCGTCGGGGGAAAGATGCTGGTGTCTTTGGGAACAGCGCGTTCCCCGACTGTTTCCCAGCCACACATCATAGCCAGAGTCTGCTAGTCTGCCAAGGCTGTTGTTAGCCAGATTTTCAACCCAATTGCTGCTATCACCAAGTAGCCCATGCTGAAAAAACACAACAGGTCTGGGGCCTAGATATGAAATAAACATCATGTTTTATTGAACCAGAATTCCTCTGCTATTACCAAATTCAGACTACTGTGGCCTCCTTTTAGCACTGTCAGAGCACATGCAATATTCTTTTGTATTGCCTGGAGGGAGGGTATCAAAACAGGGACATTAAGAAATCTTGGCTGTAGTTGAGTTGCGATTGTCACAGGCTGAAGAGCTGCTGACGTCTCTACCAAATCTTTCAGGCCCCATGTGCTCATCTCTATGAGCTCAGCACTGCAGACATGGACTGACTGTGACAACCACACACTCTCAGACCTCTAGGTTTGTCACTGGGGTAGTACAGACCTCAAAGACACAAATTTTCAGGGGAAAAATTAAATGAGGAGCTTTCTTAAGATATGTCTGCATCCTTTGAGCCTTTAAACTGAGTTGCTGCTTGATAACAAAAGAGGTTCCTGTGCTGTGTGCATGCTTTCCTGTGCTTGTTGCTAAGGACTTGACTGCAAATTGGAGAAGGGCCATGGATTTGGTATTTTTTGCATTAGTGATAAATACTGTCCCAGTAAGGTTCATCCCTTCACCTGGATCTTAGGTAACTGCTTGTTAGAATCATAGAACCAATGAATCACACAATATTCTTGAGCTGGAAGGGACCCAACTTGTGGCTCCATAGAGGGCCACCCAAAAATCAAGCAGCGTCTGAGATGTTACACCTGTTTGCTGGCTTCCTTGCCAAATAGAGCCATACCTATGTTCCTAGGATATTCTCTCCCATGAGGAATTCTGTTCAGTTTGACATAGTAACCATTGCGAGTCAGGATTTCATACTCCTCGCTGGGGTACATTCTGTGGCAGATCACTTGGCTCTGGGAAAAGAAAAGACAAGGTGCAAGCATGGCATAGCTGGGACAATTGGTTGACACAGAGCACATCCCTCATCATCTGGGATGCCCCTGCTGAGCCAGTATGAGAGATGTCTCCAGACTGAGTCACCATCCTCACTGTCTTCACTCTCTCTAGCCAAAAGGACTCAGAAACTTGTTGTTGGGAAAAAATCTTTTACCTGAGATGTGCTTTCAGAAACTCACCCCACTTAAATGCTTCTACTGCAGGAAAACATCAAGCAGTGAGGCTACATGTGATGAGATGTTCTGTGTGCTGGTGCTGTGGGCCTGTCTGAAGAGGAGGAGATGTGGCCTGGGGCTGGGATACAGCAGGCCTGAGCATAGCATGTGCATGTGGATTCCTCTGGAAGCGAGGGCTGAAAACAGAAGAGTTTTCTGACTCTGGCACTAGCAGCAAAACATGCTGTGCTGAGCTTCGAGCCGGCTTGCAGGGCAGAAGAGCTCACAGGCCTACCCAGCCTGCAGGGATGGCTGAAAAGGCCTCCTGTGGTTTGTCACAGGGCTCACAGGGCTTCATCGTTATCTACACTGAAAATTCAACAGACTGGGATGTTTCAGTCTGGTGAAATCAGTGCGCCTGCTCCTGGGTTGCCATGCCACTTTTTCACGTGGTTGCTGGAGGCGTTTAATTTCAGCCATTTCATGGCTCAGCTCTTGGATCCATCTCAGTCTGCTGCCTGTGGAGCTGTGCTGCTGGGTCTGCTAGGACCAGGCTCTGTGTGGAGACCTGTGTGAAACCCTCAGCGTGGTGTGCTCATGGGTCTGTGCCCAGTGAAGTACTGCTGGCACTGAGTTTTGAGCTCAATAGTGGGATTTTAAATCATGGTGGGGCTCCTGCCTTGTCAAGGGGCACAAGCGAATGCCACATATTTGAGCAAGGAGAGAGGAACCTGCAGAACTTTCTACCTCCAAGGAAGAAGTCTGATTCAATCCAAAGTGAGGCTGCTGCTGTCTCTAACTAACCTGCTTCTACTAATTGCACTTAATTTGCAGGGAGGATGAGGACTCATTTAGGGTTTGTTAATGATGGCATGGAGACGGCGTAATGCCGTGTGTCACCACAAAAACAGTACACATGGCTACTGCAGCCCTGTCCACACACCCTGCATTCCTCCGTGGCCCCCTCTCACCCAGTTAAATATCTACAAACGTTCAGATAGAAAGGAGATCCAATATTCTCCTGACTTACAACATTCATGAATGTCTCTGGATTTACACTCTTTGGATTCATCATGACATCATCTGAGTTTGCAGTTGCTTGTGTCAAAAACAGGACTGCAACCAACAACCGCATCTTGTGCCTGTGTAAAATACCATTGCCATTTGTTAACAACATTATTATGAATGTCTGGTCCTACTTGGCTCTGCTGGCTGAGCTCCTTTAGTGTCTGAGGACCACAAATGACAGGCTGCGGTGGGAAAGCAGAGGGTATTCCCAGCTCCAGCTCCCACCAGAGTCCATGCAGGATTCTCTGTGCTCCTCCACGCAGACTGGGTCAAGCAGCAGCAAGACCCATCTTTGAAATTTTAATGGTAAAAAGATTATATAACTGAAGAACTAACATGATGGAAATTGCTGTCAGGACAGATGCCACATAAAGGGAATTCATTTTAAGTAAGAGCTTGCACTATGAAGAGGTGTCTGTACTTCCGCTGTTTCCTTATCACTTATCTTTTGCACCCAGAATCCACTATTGACCCAAAGTCTCATGAACCAAAGCTTCTAGAGATTTCTAGGAAGAATATTTATTAAATAAGCACAGTTTGAAATAAGCAGAAATATTCTGACTACCTGAGAGACTCCTGCGCTGAGCAAAGATGTATTTATAATACACAGTTAATATTACATAAGATTTCTAATGCTTTGCCAAGCTCTTAGAATTCAGAGCTTAACTTCTACCTAATAGTGTGAGCCACAGATCTTCTCACCATCCATCTGGGAACATTCTTTCATTCTTCTCCCAGTGGGTCTCACACTTTGAGACATACCTGCCCTCTTAAATATTCCGGATGTTCATAGTTGCTGCCTCTATGGTAATGACAAGAAGCAAGCAACTGAGAAGAAAGCTTTTTCACCCTGAGAATAGCTCCTACATGAATCTGAATTACAGAGGAAAATACATTACCAGGCAGCGCCCACTGTTGTATGATCAGGCTGTGGTGGGAGTGATGGTGTCTCTACCATGCCAGCAATAAAAAGAGTCTGCTGTGTCAGAGTCCTTTTACATCAGCACTGTGCTGGGCTACATCATGTGTCCTCCAATTAAGGGATGCACTGGTCATATATTTGATAACTTCCTCTACTTGGTCTTATGATCATACCTTTCAAGCTTGCAATGAATTACATCTTCAAAAGCAGCCGGGCTTATGTGGCAAGGAATTTCAGCTATGGAGTTTCATCTTCAGCTCATGATATTTGCTGAAGAAAAAAAAAAGCCAAAATGTTTCATTTGGAAAGGATAATTTCCTATCTCCTAGGTACTCTTGAGAATGCTAGAAGAGCTCCTGATGCAAGCAGAGGACTCAAGACAACTGGAGCACATGGCAGTTATGTTGAGCTGTTTAGCAGCTTTGCAAGACCACAGCAGCATGCTGACCTCTTGATAGGCAGTCCAGGGTCTGGGCACGCTTTGCTGGCTGCCTGGGTGGGAAACACAGGTTGGCAGTTCCAGGTGGCCTCCACAAAACTCCTTAGGCCCAAGGGATATTGTATTTGCAACAGCCAACTCGCAAAACCTCTGCAGCGTTTTCTGGAAGAGCACCAACCTCAGCATCTTGTATATGGACTGCAAAACAGAGGAGAGTTTATGCAATGCCTGTTTGACTGAAGTGCTATGCATTGCACAGAACAATGGTGCTCTTTCTCCACCTTTAGCCCGTGATGTTGTAACCTATGCCTTTCTGTATCTGCTTGGTAGCTGTCTGAAAGACCTGCTGGCTAGCATATGCTCTGCTTGTGTACATTTTCTGGACAAGGATTAAGTTGGCTTCTGATCTTGCCTTCTGCCTCCATTAGATAGTAGCTATCCGGGGGAGTTACCAGATACTGATAGTAAATATTGCTAGAGATACAATATGAAATTTTGCACTGGTACTTATTGTATCTGTGGTAGGAAGAAGAGAAGTTGCCAACCAGGAGCAGCCTTTTACTGAGAATGAAGACCTTAGTAGTTTCTGAGATTGGCAGATCAGAGCTGGACGTTTTGACATATAGATGCAAGTGCAGAAAAGAATAGCACTGTTGTGATTCTGTTGTGCGTGTCCATTTGGCAGAACTGTGAGTCATCAGTGGTGTTAACCTACTATGTCAGGGCTTCTTGATGCATGGTAGGGTGTATAAGCAAATATTAAGTAGACTATCATGGACATCTTAAAATTAAACTGTATAATCATGCTCATGGGATGTTCGTACAGTACTGTTGTAGGAACTAATGAAAGAAAAGGCAAGACTGCTTAGAAACAGAATGACATTTTATTTGATTTCCTAAGCAAGTAAAGAATCAATCACTATATTCATATCACATACTCATTCTCATCAGGGCCAAGATATATGTGCCCAAGTGCTCTGGCCAAGGTCACCTGCATCTGACATGGAAGGCAAGGTTTGCCAGCTGTTGGGTCCTCAGTGTGCCTTCTGGGTTCCTCTTAAGTCCCAAGGTCAGCTTGTTCTTGGACAGACATCTGAAATCATTTAGGAGTTGAAAGATACTGTAGTGTGGTAATTTGCCTCTGAATCTTATTTACTTCTTATCTTTATATTAGACAACATTGCTGACGAGCATCTTTCATTTTCTTGTTTGGGATTGTAACTTGTCCTCCTCGTGGGATAAAAGGAACAGCCCATGAGATGTGCTGCATCCCCTCTGCTGCTGTCTGTTGTCAGGCGTATGTCTTCTACCAACAAGTCATCTTTTCTGTGGCACATGAGAGCACAAGCAACATGTTTCTCAGCTCTCACCAGCTTGATTGTTGTTAATCACATCCTTGGAAATCAGTGCATGCCATTCCTCTAACTCTTGCTCTCGTGCTTCTGATGTTTTCACACACATGCAAGCTGCCAGGTGGTATGCTCAGTGTGTTTGTCGTACCTTCTCAGTGTTGACGCTTGCCAAGCACAAGGGTAAGCAAACACAAGTAGGGAGATACTTGACTAGCTGACATCTGGTCCTGGCATCCTGAGCTCAGAAAAACAACATAATTCTGCTTTTTTAGCAATAAGGGAACATCAACTGTTGTGTAATCCTGGCCAGATAAACATAATTTCCTGTCAGTATCCTTGAAGAACCTTGGTCAAGCAAAAAAAAAAAACTGGTGAGGAAAATCGCATTTATCTGGTGCTACCTCTCGTTTAAAGTCCCTCCATGTGACTGCGTTGTCTCCATTATCTCTGATTACACAGTTTATAGGGGCATTACCCATGCTAGAGTTGCATAGTCAGGCTAGATGTAATAGAGAATTATTTTCACAACACCTTGCCAGAATTATTCATGCAATCATTTCACTGTCGTGAAACTGAATCAACAAATGCACACGTTTTGTAAAGCTTATTGCAAAATAATTGTGATATGGTTACCCAGGATTTCTCTCAGTTATTTTCTTCCCCTCATTCTGTGTTCTGGTGACCCCAGAAGAACCCTGAACATCTTACGCTCCTCTGGTCATTCCTAATTGTACAGTTGGCTTTAAAGCAAATTTAAAGCTAAAGTAGATTGGTCTGTTCATGAGCAGACCTGAGCACTTCAGAAAACTTAATAATTAGTAATATTACTAAAATATTATTTTTTCAAATTTGTTCTTGGACCTTTTTTGTTGATGGAAAAAGACTAACTTAGGATCAAGGCAATTCAGGAAGCAGTAAAGTCTCACAGTTACAGTCTGAGACAGATTGCAGCAGTCAGGAGTGGAGACCTGCTCAGGCTGGTGAAGAGCATTGGAGGTGGTTAAATCTGACTGTGATTTTGGCTAACCATAACTTGTCATGGGCACATACAGTTCCCATCTGCTTAAAGTACCAACACACAAAACCACAAGTCTTGGGGACCAACTGCCCAGTCCGTCTTCAAGCACTTATCTAACAGTCTTGGAAATAACATAGGAAATAACACAGAAATTGCTCATGGTTCCTACATTAAGAAAGATACGTGTCCCCAAGAGAATGAATTAAATCTTCTCAGAAGATTCACATTAAGCCTGAATCTTCTCAGAAATGCCAGTGACTGCAGATGATGTTTTTCAGGCTTGCTGTTAAGGATCAAAACAACATGAAAAGGCAGTGCACCATCTGACGTGACTTGATGAAACCTTGACTGGATTGACTGGATGACTGGATTAATCCCAGTAAAATTTAGTTTCTAAATAACACCACAGAGCAGTCAGTTGCTTAAATTAGATATCAAAACAATCCTAGGATTACTTACAAAAGTGCATCTCCATTTCAAGCCTGTGGCTCTGTAATCCTTAAGCTGGAATGGCTTCATGAAACACCTTCTGTGTGGACACAGCTGAGCACATGAGCCTGCTGCTTTTTTCACATTGATTGTGATGATGATAGAAAATTACAGGCCATAAAATATGGTGCAATTACTGTATTTTGAGTGGGATGTAACACAGTTTTAAGCCTGTCCTGCCTCTCATGCCAAACATGAACAGATCAAAAATTGTTCTGTCTGAAAACATCTGGAAGAAGGTTAAGTCAGTGGCTACGTAACCAATATCCTTCACATGTGCAGGTGTATGGCTGAGGTTTGATCACACATGGAGGATAAACAATCTCAAGACATTCACATGGGGAGCAAGGTGCCTGAATGTCCTTGTTCTTGTGAGAGAAAACTTCAGCCCCAAAACAATAGGCTTGAGATGAGCAAGGACTCAGTCCCTGCAAGACCAGCACAGCTCTCCAGAGAACCCTTCTATTGACTGAGGCAATTTGAGATGACAGAACATCATAATATTCATGTTGCAAGCACCTTGCTAATTCGCTGTTTTCTTTTCTTTCAAAATGCACCGGCTTAGCAATTGCTGAACCTTTAACAAACAAGTACCAGTTCCATCTGGAACTTTCAGACCCTGGTTTGGAAAGAATTTCACCAGAACACTCCACCATGGGAATGGACTGAAACAGTGCAATAAGAACTTTGTTTTGGATGAATACAGAATTGAAAGAAACATTGAAGAACGAACAGAATGAAAAAGAGCCGAAACACTGCAATTCTTAGGAACTTTCAGACTTAAAAATTTAGTAATGTTAAATTAAAATATAGAAGTTGCTATTCAAAAGTCTGGGTGTTAATGTGC